CCTATTTCTATTTATGTCTTTGGTATATGAAACTCTCATGTTTCAGTTTGCCTTTATCTGGTATCATTTGCTTCATTATCACTTTGCAGTGTTTGTTATTCACACCTACATTGTTGATGGTGGTCTGGTCTTCTGTCACAAATGGAGGCATGCAGTTGAGTGCAGTTTTCATAGGAGATGGGAGGTAATGGTGAGGTGGCAGAAGGTGATCATCAGTCAGCCTTGATGTACATACATGTATATGTATATACCTGGTGCACTGTGTGCACTGCCATTTGGTATTTAGCTCAGTTTTTTTCTTTCATCTTTCTTTGTAATATAAAGGACTACAATTCGGATGCATTTCTATCAGAGCGTCTTATTTTAAACTGTTAGCGGCTGTTTTTTGTACTCTAGCAGAAGAAAAAATAGTGAATCAATACACTCTATAACTGACTGGAGGATCTTCTATCTCTCTGGTTCTGTGATTATATAGTCTGCCTGCAACTACACAGTGTACAAAACAATCCACTTTGTTTAAAGGGTTAAAGGTTAAAAACAAAAACATGAGCTAGACTTGAATAACACCTTTTCTACTGAATAATGTCTGCTGAAATGGTTGAAATACACTTCCCTAATATGTAGCCATGTATCTGACTGTATTTCAGTAAGGTGAAAGCTGGCCTAAAGACTGCAAAGTGGTCAGGGTTCCTGTGCTGCTTGTCTCTCATCCTCCTCCCCTGCGTTCATCTTACAGTATTTCTCAATATCCATCTGTTAGCTAACATTATTCAAGCGCTTTCTCTCCCGCTGTCACCTTCACTCTCACCTGGCCCGAGCTGCATCTATTTAGCAGCCAGATGGAAGTCAGAACATGTTCTTTTATTGCAAAGTATTTTTTCAATGTGTCAAAATAAAGGCAGGGTGTACACTGCCATAGCATAACCTATGTGTGGGAAGCACTGGGTTTTAGTCTACACTTGGTCACAACAAGGCAGATAAATGATGCATAGTGTTACTTATTCACACTATGAGTTTAATGTGTCATAGTATATTATTGGTAATATAGATTCACCGTGTTGACATACAGTTGAATTTCATGACTGAAAATTTGGGCAAATCTGTGCTGTGAAGCTTATGTGGAAATGTACAAAACAGTTTGGGTCAGCAAACATTAGCTTCATTATATATTATTTATTTTGTTGCTGTCGGAGCAAAACCTCGTATCTCAATTTATTTATTTTTTTTGTTTTATCGGTTTTTGATATAATTTGAAAAGATCTGTTGCCCTTCACGTTATGTGTCAATTTCATCATGAATGAGCCAACAAAAATGGCCCAAAATCACTTGGAAAAAAGTCTGGTTCCATTGACTTACATTAATAGTAAAGTATGGTTTTTGCTTCTCCTGTAAAGTTGTCATTTTGGAGATACAAGGTTTTGTTCTGACAGCAGTGATATATTTATTACATTTTTCTTTTTAAATGACCCTGTTTTGGGTGAAATTCCACATAATTGCCTTTGTCCACATTATTTATTGAGTTAGGTGTTGGGTCAGGAGGTGGAGAGTGAATCTGAAGGTGCTACATGGCCGAATCTGAAAAATGACAAAATGAGGTCATCCAATTTCACCTTTATTGTATTTTTTTGACTAACGTGTGGAAAGTCTTTCAGAAGCGACTGCATGTGTTTTATAAATAGGGACGGTGTCTCCTGAGGCTCCATTACTGTAGTGTTGTACCAAAGTGGTGAAGTGGCCCCTGTTAACCTGCGTCACTGAAGCCAAAGAACAGTTTTTAATTTGCTTGTTGTGGGTTGGGTGTTGATATAAGAGCAGGTTAGACTGGAGTGCTGATGAAAGTCCTACCTACAGAAGATGTCCCAAATACAGAAAAGTTTTAAGGGTTATTCTTCCATACAACTGACCTGTCCACTTTGGCAACGTATCTAACTTAGTATCTGTCAACATACCTACATTTAGAGAATGATATTTATTTCAAATAACATTTATTTTGAATGAAAGTGAACAATGCTAACAGACCTAGCTTTGATTAGCCAGCATGTATTATGATTTCTCATTAAGCTGAATGAGATTTTTGCTAACATTCTATAAAGCTTGTCCAACCTCACAACGGTTGCTATGAAATAATGTATTTGTGAGTGGAGCATGGATAGATCAACTGGACTTATGCCTACTAGTCAGTTACTAGAACCATCACTTTACAGTTTCACTGTAAGCCCCGATAAGTTGAATTTACTTAAAAAATTTGAGGAAGCTGATTGCCTTAAAAGAATTAAGTAATGTGTAATGAAAACTTAGGCTAACATAAACACGTTTGTGCAACTCGTAAACTCTAATTATTTTAATTTAATGTCTTGAAATAGCAACTTAACTTAATATGTTTCATTAGGCAGTTGAGAATTTTTTTCTAATTAAGTGATTGACCACTTTTCCAAATACCAAAAAGTTAACCTTTACTGTGAACATGATCACTGACCAACACAAACAGCCACTCATCAGCAAAGAGAACAATAACCTTCACTCTTAGCCAACAACACAATGTCAGGCAGCTGAGTAAAGCATATATAAAAGAACATACACCTGAGGAAAGGCAGCCTAGGTGGAATGAAAGCACACTGACGGTGAGTAAAACAAATGGAAAGAAACACTCAATATGCAAATAGATGGAGCCAGGAGCCAATAGGAAAGAAATATATGTTTTATCTAACAAGATCGTGTTAAAAAAACACACGTTACTGTATTTTGCAGCTTACTTAGCTTCACTCAGTTTCACACATTTGTTCAGCAACTTTAATGAGAAAGAAACAATTAAAACCAACAGAAATGTCATCATTTCTCATGTGGGGTTTCAAAGTTGCCATAGCAATGGACTAAACTAAATAGCAATAAGTTAATTCAACTCAAAAATGCCATTTGAGTGTACAAAATCATCAAAAACTTTCCCTAAACTTAAAACTACCTAATAAGCAACATAAGCAGCTGCCTAGGGCCCTGCATCTGCCTGGGAGTCCCACCTTCAGGGTTATTACCATTAAGCACCATTGTGTTGTTTAAGAAAGGGGTTTCCAATCCCAGTGCTGATGCAACACTTTGTCTCATCGTGCACACCTGATTCAACTTAATAGCTAATTATCAAGTGCCTCGTTGGCTGGCCCAGGTGTGTACAGTGGAGAAAACACACTGTGACCCTTGGTCGAAGATATTTGAGCGAGGTGAAAAAAGTTAACTAGCTGATTATGTCTCAAAAAAGAAGATATGCTTCTGGAGCCAAAAATGTACAAGAAAAAAAAGATAAAAGTATGTTTTGTTTTTTGGTATTACGCCATTTGTTTTGGCTTGCAGACAACAATAAGTAATGGACCTGGGGTCTGTCTAAAAAAGTGGGTTCAACTGGACAGACTTTCTGACTTTCAGCTTCACCAAATCCAACAGATGCAATTAACTCATTTTACAACCATGCCTAACAACTTTCACTCTTAAGTGAGGGTTAAATATTCAAGCTGTGATTAATCCAGGTGTACATACTCAAGCTGTGATTAATCCAGGTTTAGATACACAGGCTGTAATTAATCCTCATGCACATGCACACAAAAGCCTGACGTTTATGATAAACAGCCAAATGTGGGAAACAGGTGGAGTTGCCAAAGAATGAAAAAGACTCAATACAAAAAAAAACAAACTACCTAAAAAATTGTAGAAAGTAAATCATTTATAACATAAAGAAGCAACATTGTCACCACTGCCACCACAGTTACGTCAAACTAAGCATAAAAATAGGTGTGGTGAGACAGAGTCCGTGATCCAGAATGCTGAGAAGGTGATCTGTAATTTAAACTGCAACTTATTAGATACACAAATAAGCATCACATCATCAGCAATATACAAATTAGCCAGATATAAATTAATTTGATTGAGCAAGCTTGTGGTAGTCATCATTATACTTTGGCCTTTAATTTTACAGTACATCATCTTGCATGATGGGAGAACACAAAAAATTCCTGCTTAGAGCCCCCAAAAGCTAGAGCAAGCCCCACAAAACAAGTCACCAATAAGACTAAACTAAAACGTCTACTGATAAAGCTGGCAAAAGTGGTCACAGACCTGTGCATATAGACAAAAGATAAATGTATGAAGTGGTTGATTTTTCAAAATATTAATTCAAATTGTTTTGTTCAGAATATTCAGTCATTTATTTTATACTGGTTTTGCGCATTTACATATTTGTTTTTTGTGCATTTGCATATTATTTTTATCTTAAACACATTGTGTGACATTGTCAATTGATGTATAATATAGTCCATCTTTTATTCTTTCTTAAGAGAATGTGAGTAGTAATTAAACTGGATGAGTGTAGCAGATTAGGTGAACCTCTCATCATGTGAGCTGTGTGTTTGTTTCTGTATTTAGTCCTTTGTGAGGACCAAATATGAGACCAATTGAAAATAAACTGTGGAACTGAGGCCATTTTTGTAGTCCTCACAAAAAAGCCACTTGACTTTTTTACCTTTTGTTTGCTGAGGTTAAGATTAGGGTTAGGTTAAGATGTATGTGTAGCATTACTTGGCTACAGTATTACATCAAAGATATGAACCCTCTAAAATCCCAGGCTTATTACATACTAAGGCTTATTATTCAGTAACTATAGGGACTTCAATGCAAACTGGCTGAGCTAGTCTTAGGTTATAGAAGTGTGTAATGAAGTTTTGGGCCCGCTGGTGAGCTCTGTCCATTTAGGGGGCTAATTCAAAATTGTATGTATGTTTGTATGTGTGTGAGCATGTGTGGTTGCATGTGCACACATGCATGCGACTGCGTATTTGATTGTTTTTCTGTGTGTGCATGTATATATTTTGCACCTTTGTGAGCAGTAATAAAAAGATGAGTGTACTTGAGCAGGTTAGCCCAACCTCCCAGTCACTATATGAGCAATATGTGCAATGTGTGTGTGTTCATGTGCTCTCACGCCTCACTACCTTTGCTGTGTTTTATGTTATGTTTAGGGCTCTGGCAGATATCCTGAGGCAGCAGGGTCCCGTCCCCATCTCCCAATATGAACAGGAGAACATGGCCACTGTTGAGGGATCACCTAAAGAAAGCAGCATGAAGAACCACTACACACCCATCCACAACAAAACCAATCACGGTATGGCACACACACGCTCCCACAACAAAAACAACCACTATATGGCATACATTGCAGTGGTCACCAACTCTGGTCCTGGAGATCTACCTTCCTGTGGACTGTAGTTTGAACCACAGTCTGCCACATCTTCTCCAGCTAATTAACAATTTCAGAAGTTCTTGATTGGCCGGATTAGAACAATTAGTGTAGGTAGGAGGAGGGTTGGTCACCGCTGCTGTGTAGCAACAAACCCAGCCATGCCACAGCATACACATCCATTCACAACCAAACCAATCATGATATGGCATACATACCCATTCACAACAAAACTAATGATGGGTTAGCTCCTGAGTGGCACAGCTATTTAAGCATTGGCCCTATTGTCAGATCATAAGTTTGAACAGAGTGGATCCATGAGGTGATAGATGCAAGGTGATAATGCTTTTACATTTTTACAGTTGTCTCGTTTTGGCAAGAGGAAGGGTGGCTTCCATGCGACTCAAGTTCTATTCACATCAGTGGGAAATTCTGGCCATTTTACCAGTCTATAGTAATTTATCCCCTTTCAATATTACAGCAAATTTGGCCATTTTTGTGATACCCAGGGTTTTGCGACTTTGAGGCTAAACACACATTTTCGGATAAGCTGATTTGAACAAAAACAGTTTTGTTTCAGGTCTGTTCAGCTGGCTGCCAGATTGTTCTGCACGGGCTGCTGTTGTTGTCCCAGGAGAAGGAGGACGGGTAAAGTGGATGACGCAAGACAGGAACTGTATCATTTTTCATCCCATTGACTTCGTCATGCGCTATCTTGGTTTACCTTATATATGATCCTAGGTTCAGTCCCTTGTGGCCAGAAGTCCAAGACAGCATAATTGGCCTTGCTTTCATTCTTTGGTCCCCCCTCTCCACAAGACACTTCATCATCACGCAACTAGCAATTGGTGTTCTCCCTCAATCACGTTGAAGTGTCCAATGATATTGCATTAGTGGCAGTTTGAAAAGATGCAGTGGCGCTTACGATAACTTTTTTAGGTTGCACATGCTAGTCTTCACCCTCCCATCTTCATAGTGTCATGTTATGTGGAGACCTAGCTAGCAGGGGGAACTGGTAATAACTAAATTGGGGAGGAAATTGGGTTAAAAATAATAAAAAAATAAACAATCACAGTAGGCCATGCATACCTTACACATACCCACAACAAAATCAAAGGAAAATATTCACACCCATCCACAACAAAACCAACAATGGTCCAACATACACATCTATTCACAACAAAACCAGTCCTAGTAAACATACATTGTACAAACAAACCCAATCATGAGATCGCATACACACCAGTTCACAGGAAAAACCTATCATGGTGCGGCATACACATTCATCCACAACAAAACCACTCAAACCAATTTAAAGCCTTAATATAGAGTTGGCAAACACATTAATAAAACTCCCAAGAAAAGGTGGAACCACAGATTTCTCGATCCAGCAGATGTAAGCACGACCTAAGCAGAGGAGTTTGTTATATCAATACACATATCTGGCAACCCACAACCTCTCAGTGAGTTAACTTGGCTCACGTTAGAAGAGTTTAAAGGCCTTTTTTCTTTCGGAATGCTTCAGATCTGTTTCAGAGTTATAAAAGCTTAAGAGCAGCCGTGAGACTTATGAACCACCAGTGTGGGCTTTAATTCTAAATCAAAGAGCGTTAATGTCATAAATGTAGAGTATCAAGTGCTGCATAGTGAAGAAGTGTGTGTGTCACTTACATCCACCTCAGCTGTGTAAATCAGAAGTGTGTGTGTGAGTGAGTGTGTGTGTGTGTGTGTGTGTGTGTGTGTGTGTGTGTGTGCGTGTATGTGAGAGAGAGAGAGATAGAGAAAGAGAGAGAGAGAGAGCTGATTTTGTATGTGTACTGAAGGGTTGCTGAGTGTCCTACTCCAATGTCCCAGTTTCCGTTACTTTATACTGCTGCTGTTGAGTGTCACAGCAACACACACACACATACACACACACACACACACACACACACACACACACATTAACAAAGCGTGTATCTTTGTGTATGAGGAACAGTGAGCATATGTGCCTGAATCAGACATTCCCCTTCTTAAGAATGTTTGTATGAGAGGGGAGTGTGTGTGTGTGTGTGTGTGTGTGTGTTTCACAAAAAACTGCAGCTTCTATTAAAAAAAGCTTTCACACACACATAAACACACCAATATACAGTACTCTGCAGAAACTGTTTATTTCATTTCTATTCAAAATCAAAATTAGTTACAAGTCATTCATTTTTCTAGAGATATATCTGTGGACATTAGATATGAGACTCCATTTGAATAAGGAAGGAGAAAGTCAAAGGGAACTAAGTAAAAAAGGAGTTACCAAAACTGACAACATATAAAACAATTAGGAATATATTGAACATATTCTGAAATATGAGCACTCACATCTCCACTGGGGTGGATTTATATTTCTTTTGTGCCTGTGTTATTGATTGTAACATAGATTGCAGTAGAGCTCAAATGTTTGGATCTATCTAGTTTTTTATTATTTTGAAGACCTTTTAATCTAAAATTGTGTTGCTAAGATATAGTTATATTTTACAAAGTCTCACCATATGTGGATCTTCTTCAAGCTTGTTGTATCCCTCATGGTTGCTCATGTATGTATTGAGTAAATGCTGAGTGTATGCCAATGCTGGATCAAGACAAAAGGAGGGCTTATCTAAAACACAAGATGGTTTTGAGTTGCTTCATCAATTTGGGCACTGCAGAATACCATATGCATTATTTCACTGTTTTTATGTCTTAAGTATACCTACTTAAGTGCTCAATGATTACCAAGTTGCACTGGATACTTATATACAGCATTTTGTGGTGTTCTGCATGGCTCAGTTCTGGGCACTCCATTATTGTTAAACAGTAAATTATTAAAGAGATATACATAAATAATAGTAAGAATAATATGAAAATAGCCAAAATAAGGGACCACCTGTATTAAATCCTGCAACGAGAAACTCTTTTATGTGTATGCATGTCCAAACTTTTGACTCAAGTTCCTTTCAGAGGACAAGCAAGAGGTGGAGATAAAGTGCTAAAGTGGCACCTAAGGAGCAGCTTAATAACCTGCAGTGGCATTCGCAGCTTGCGCTGATCCAGGACAGGAATGTGGTCCACTGCTGCGGAAATTCAGCCTCACGTGGACCTGAGAGTGGGTCACCATCAGCTCTGAATAAAGCTGCATCCTCTTTGTTAGCCAAACTAAGTTTAGGTTCCTCCGCAAAAACGATCCGTCTGCGTCTCTGTGTGGTAAAAATGAAATCCAGCGTCGTCAGAGCCAGAAATAGCTCTCATCTCAGAAACAAAAGAGAGGCTTAGGCTGGCTTTTAGTATTGTGCGTCTCTCCTTTTCAGCACCTGAATCTTTTATTCACAAGGTGTGCAAGGAATTTCTCTTGTGCAGGTGTCAACATTTTTTTTCTTTCAGTTCACTCACTTTTGGCAAGAATTGAGTTAATGAAAGAGTACAATAAACACCAACCGGTTTCTACACTCATTGCCCATTTCATCAGCTCTATTTACCATAGTGGATCTACAATTACAGAATGTAGTCCATCTGTTTCTCTGTATAATTTGTTAGCCCCCTCTTACTCTGTTCTTCAATGGTCAGGACCCCCACAGGACCACCACAGGGCAGGTACTATTTGGGTGGTGGAACATTATCAGCACTGCAGTAACACTGATGTGGTGGTGGTGTGTTAGTGTGTGTTGTGCTGTTCTGAGTGGATGAGACACAGCTGTGCTGCTGGAGTTTTTAAACACCTCAGTGTCACTGCTGGACTGGGAATAGTCCACCAACCAAAAATATCCAGCCAACAGCGTCCTGCGGGCAGCGTCCTGTGACCACTGATAAAGGACTAGACGATGACTAACACAAACTGTGCAGCAACAGATGAGCTATTGTCCCTGACTTTACATCTACAAGGTGGACCAACAAGATAGGACTATTAATGTCTAATAGAGTGGACAGTGAGTGGACAAAAAAAGTGGAGAGTTTAAAAACGCCAGTGGCACTGCTATGTTTAATCCACGCATACCAGCACAACACACATTAACATTCCACCACCACGTCAGTGTCACTGCAGTGCTGAGAATTATATACCACCCAAATAATACCTGCTCTGTGGAAGTTACTTATAAACAGTCCAAGTCATAAGTGGGGAAACAAGCCACAACTAAAAGCAATGGTTAGAAACAGGTTCCAAGGTGGAGCCTGGACTGTGGAGGAAAAGTCCACTATGGACTCGTCCAACTGCTGATCACCAGGAGAGGGGAAGTGTAGCATACATAAACGTTTTTCCATCCACCTCTTTGAAGCATATTTTGAAAATGTGCATAAAAATCTGGATGGAAAAGGCAGAAATGTGAGACAATGTCTAAATATTGCAAAAGACGTTTTAATGCTTGGATGAGGTGGATAAAAAAGCAAAAAACAGTGAAAGTATGTGTGTGGCACTATGTCCTCTCAGAACTGTTTGCTTGGGGGGAGCGTTCCCAGGAGCTTGGTGGGCAACACTGAAGTGGGACAGCGACTTCAGTCATAAATAAATGGGCCGTCTGGTGTCTCTTACAGCCAGTGGTGAACTGTGACTGTTAAAGCTAGGCCTCTAATTCAAGCTATAAATGCCAGACTTCGTCAAAACTTAAGGGAAAAAAAACCCTGAACGATGATGCTCATTTCTGCTAGCATCCCTATGGGATTCTAGCAGTTTGTTAGTGCTATGTCTTCTCTTTGGCTCTTGAAATCCAAATTAATAGGACAGCTCTACTAGGTAGCTATTTCTACCTAGATACCACAAAAAAAACAATTCCTAACTAGACATTTTTCTGCCTCGCGTATGAACAATTTGACCCTATTGTTTCCATCCCGAACTTACAATGCCTGAATTGACTTATTGATGTAATTATTGGTTTCTAAATGCTGGTAGTGAAGGAGTGAAAAAGTAGAAAGTACTGTAATGCTTTCAGAGTTTAAACACAATAATTCAGTTAAATGAACATGAAGTAAAAATTACAGACATGTATTTTTGTAGCTCTCAGAAACCATTAGACCTTCTCTGAAGGCCTAGAAGGCCCTGAGGGTTCCCTTCTACTTACAACCATGTACAGCTGACAGAGCGCTGTCAAAACTGCTCTACTGAGTGCTAATAAAGGCTCAAATCTCTCCAGTGTATAAGCCACACACACTGAGCGTGACTTGTCTCGTGCCTTGCAGCACAGAACTGTCACGTCATCATCAGGAATTCACACGAACTGTAGTTGATGCTAACAGTAATTCTTTTGCATGTTCTTTTACTTACACAAAGTGAACGAGGGAGCCATAAAAGGATAAAAGATAGTCACTTCTTTAACATGAGAGGAACAATAAAAATTGCACCATTTCATTAAAAAAATTGCACATTTTAAGCAAATTTCCTAATTTTTTAACGGAAGCCCTGCTCATGTTAAAAATGTGAGCATCTTTTCATCCTTTTTCGCTTCCCTTGCTCTCTCCGTGTTTCTCCCAGTTTGCTGATGGAAGGATTGATTGGCCTTTCGCAGGTAGCTGGCTTCCAACAGAGCGGCAACAATAGCGCTCTCAATATCTGCTGGAATGAGAGGTGTCGCTAACACATAGAAACGCATATAAACACGTCAGAGAAGCACTTCAGCCATCCTCCCTTATCATTCCACTCTTAGGATGCAGAGACGAGGCTAAATAGTCTTTAATGGGACACTTTATTCAACACACGTTCTGCCATAAACTCCCTCTCTACCCTTCGATCTGTCTCTCTTGCTCTCTTAGTGATTTAGACACATACGCACCACTTCAAAATGGCTGTTTTTTGTAGATACCTTTTATTGACCTTGGTGTCAAGAGCCCTGGTCAGCAAGCTCAATTACCATCCAATTAGATTTTCAAGTTTTTTGCTGCCTGCTGGAAGAGCAGGCAGAGGTTTCTGACCCCGCAAAGTATCTTTTATTACAGCTTCACTGAGTGTGTGTGTGTATGTGTCACTCTGAGAGCTTGTGGGAGAGTGACCTCTAAAAAACCTGTATAGGACCCAGAGTATACCCCTGCCTCACACCACAGAGCATGAATACTTAATGTGCTTCTTCATTTTGACCCCTGTCTCATTACACCTTTTGCCTGCTGGCTAAAAACACACTGAGGTTTTGGCAACTGTCAGGAAAATGAAGCTGTAACATTTTATTTGAAATACCGACATAAGGACTTCATAAGCTCTGAACAACAAGGGGAAAAAAATGACAAATTAAAGCTAAATCATAATAGATGTGTTCCTGTCCTTGGACGTGATATACCCTTTGAGGTAATGACAATGAGAAAAGCATGAGGAACCATTATCAACAAGAGGGAGTGTTGAGGGATTCTTTATCTGTGCATTTTACTGAATTTCAATACAAAACCATTTCCTTCATAAAACATCATGTCATATTGCCAATTCTAATGTAAGCTGTTCATAAATGCTCAACTATTGCCTTTTAAACATGTTAATCAATATTTATGCCTGTGCTATGTACGTGTCATTGTGCCTTATGTGGGTACACTTGAAGCTGAAGGTGAAGAATATCAAAATGAAAGTTAAAGATGAAGGAAAATTATTCAGAGAAAACTGCTTTAGTAGCTTCTCTGGAAGTTAACAGTTGGTGTGATGAATACAGAAGAATGTTTGCTGTGTTCCAGACGGTTAGGTGTAGTTCAGACGTTCTGCTGCAATTCATATGCTTTGGTGTAGGGCATGATTTGTCGCAGTTCAGATGATTTGATGTGGTTCATATGGTTGCTGTGGTTTAGAAGGTCTGCTGTGGTTCATAAGGTTTATTGTGATTCTTGCAGTTTGCTGTAGTTCTGATTGTTTGCTGTGTGTCAGGTAGTCTGATGGTTTTGTGTAGTTCAGTAGATTTGCTGTAGTTCAGATGGTTTGTTGCAATTTAGATGGCTTTCATGTGGTTTTGTGTATTTCAATAAGTTTGCGGAGGTTCAGATAGTTTCCTGTGGTTCAGATAGCTTGGTGAAGTTCAAAGGGTTTATTGTGGTGGATATGCTTTAGTGTAGTTTTAGTGTAGTTGTGTAGTTCTGAAGGTTTGGTGTAGTTCAGATGATTTGATGTGTTACAGATGGTATGATGTACTTCAGAAGGTTTGCTGACATTCACATATTTTCCTATGGTTCAGATGGCTTGGTGTATATCAGATGGTTTGTTGTGGTTCAGATGGTTTGATGTATTTTAGATGGTTTGAAGTGGTTTAGATGGGTTGTTGTATTTCAGATGGTTTGGTGTACTTCAGAAGGTTTGCTGACATTCAAGTAGTTTCTTGTGGTTCAGATGGCTTAGTGAAGTTCAGAGGGTTTACTGCGGTGGAGATGCTTTGGTGAAAATTAGATGGTTTGCTGTGGTTCAGATGATTTGGTGTAGTTCAGATGATTGAGTGTAGTTTAGAAGGTTTGCTGAGGTTCATATAGTTTCCTGTGGTTCAGATGGTTTGGTTTAGTTGTGATGGTTTGGTGTAGATGTGATGGTTTGGTGTAGCTCAGATGGTTTGGTTCAGTTGTGATGGTTTGGTGTAGTTCAGATGGTTTGGTTCAGTTGTGATGGTTTGGTGTAGTTCAGATGGTTAGGTTCAGTTGTGATGGTTTGGTGTAGTTCAGATGGTTTGGTTCAGTTGTGATGGTTTGGTGTAGTTCAGATGGTTAGGTTCAGTTGTGATGGTTTGGTGTAGTTCAGATGGTTTGATGTGGTTTAGATGGTTTGTTGTATTTCAGATTGTTTGGTATAGTTCAGATGGTGTGCTGTGGTTTGAAAAGTCAGAATATTTATTTCCAAAATTGAGGCAATGACAAAATGGAGCTTAGAAACCACTTTCTTTCTTACTTATTTCTTGAAGGTCAGATGAGGTTCAGAAAAGTTGATGTTGTCCAGATGGTTTGCTGTGATTTCTGTGGTTTGTTGTGGTTCAGATTGTTTGGTGCAGTTCAATACTTTTTTAAGTTTTTTATACTCACTGCTTCATATTTTTTTCCACACACAGACTGTGCTCTTGTAATGATGCAAAGTGACTGAAATTTCTTCCTCATGCTACATCTGAAAGAGTTTTTTTCTTCCCTTTAGGGCATCATGGGAAGGATAATTTCCGCAGTGGTCAGGACATGCACAACTTCATCTCCTCTGGGTTTGTCACGCTGGGTAGAGGACACCTGAAAGGTACCTGCCTCTGTCTACGTCTCTGGATCACTTTAATAAACAAAAGCACACTTGAAGGTGTTGAATAACTCTGGAGTCCAGCAGAGATGAATCAGTAGAGCTCAATTAAAAGTTACACTGGCCTTTGGTTTACACTGCAGACCAACCAAGGGCCTAAATTAATTGCTTTTTACAGCACACCTCTTTCAGAAGGCCTGGGGGAAAGACAGCAACCGGAGGACGAGAGGGGAAGAAAGAGAGTTACATAGAAGGAAGGAGGGAGGGAGAGAAAGAAAGAGATACACAAAAAAAAATAAATTAATAAAAAAAAATGTGAAATGAGATACTTATATTGGCAAATGGCAAAAAAATCTGACAAGTTTTGAAAGTGGAATATTTTTGCAGTTTTTTGCCAGGACTTCATTTGTGCAGACTTACAGGGCCTTCGATGCTGTATTTTACCATGAAAGACTCTAGTTTTCAAACTTTATGCTGGTAACAATCTGGATAGTTGTTTTCTTCTTCGGCCTGGAGAGCAGAATGTCTGTTATTTCCATTAACAATCTAAAAGGTTGACTTGTCAAACCACAGTTCATGTTTCTACTGTTCATCAGTCCATTTTAGAAGAGCTTGAACTCAGAGGAGTCAACAGTGTTTCTAGATGTTGTTGACATATGGCTTCCTCTATGTATAATACAGTCTAAACTCGTCTAAACTCTGTGTAAGTCTGTTTATCTCATCCAAGTCTCTTGATAAGACTATATTGCTGTAATCTGAGACCCAAAATGAGTTAATTAAGCTGAATTAAGCCAAATTAAGCCATCTTGTGCCAGGTCTGCATACCAAATGAACCAACAGAAAATTCAACTTCTGCATTCATCTTTCAGATCTGAACTTAGAAGTAAGACCTCACTGTAGGAGGGGACTACTTGTTGAAGCTAATCAATAAGCCCTAATTTAATGCCAAAAGTATTGATACAATATTTGATTGACACAACAGTCATAAAAACTTGATGAGTGACTTTTTGTGCTTGTTTTGTGCCATTAGTGACTTAAAATAAGGGTATGTTTCTAAGTGAGACTTATGAAGGTAATAGTTCTTTAAAAACAAAATAATCTTACACAAGTGAGACAAGTGATCTTATCAGAAAAACAAAGATTTATTGCCATTATTTGATAATTTCACTTGCTAAAGTTTTGTTTTATGCAGTGTAGAGACAAAATGAGACAAGTACCCAGAGGGTAACATTTTCTTTTATAGTCCCTCAAGCTCCAGTTATTAACCAGGTAAGTATGAGAAGAAATCCCAAAGTACTAGGTAATTATTTTGGATCATTTCTGTTGGGCAATATAATGATGTTTTAAGACAGTCTAGCTAAATTACACTGAATCACACTTATTACTCAAAACATCCATTAGATACGTTACTTTGTCTTGTATCAGCTTAATAACTACAACCTGTTCATAATTTCAGTGTGATTTAGTTATAGGCACTTACCAACTTTTTACCCAAAACAATTACACAGTACATTTGAGTGTGTTACCCACATTTACTCGAATAATATTTAGAACCTGATGGGCATGTCAGTGTAATTTAGATAAACTGTTTCAGGACTTGGCATCATTTTACCTAAAATGCTTTTTGGAAACAGGCCACATTTCACAAAAAGCACCTTTAGTGTTAAGATCATCATAACTGGTAGAGAGAGTGTTCAGTCTGATGCTTCCTCTACCATTTAAAATTCAAGATGCTTTTGGGAAACGTAGCTCTAGTTAAGACCTTGAACTTGAGGGACTGTAAAAGAAAAAGAAGCTGTGAGAAAGAGGGATAAAAAACATAGAAACTAAGTGAGAGAGAGAGAGAGAGTGAGAGAGAGACAAAAAGAAAAAAAAAAAAACAAGACTATGTCCCACAAACATTTTGTCCTTTCTCTAAGCATTTGCTGGGGTTACATGAGTATGTGTGTGTGTGTGTGTGTGTATAGAGAGAGAGAATCATGTTGACAGCGCAATAATGATGTTTCGTAGAGCTAATTAACAGACTGAAACAGCTTGTCAGAGTTAAAGGGGTTTTGCCAAACATGTTTTCTCTCTCTCTCTCTCTTTCATTGTCTCTATTGTCTATGGTGAGCTCCCACAGAAGAAGTGAATGCCAATACATTATCATCAGCACACAGACTTACAACAAAGAGAGAGACAGAAACAGTGAGAGAGATAATGTATGTATATATATATATATATATATATATATATATATATATATATGTATATATATATATATATATAGAGAGAGAGAGAGAGAGTTGTGCTGTACAATCAGCACCCTCACTAGCTCTGAGCTGTAATGTAGAAGGTTCTACTGTACTTTAGCCACTCAGCCGCACACAACTATACGCATGCTATATATACACAATATATCTAAAGGTATGTAGACACCTGCTCATCCAGTATTTCTTCTGAAGTCAAGAATATTAATAGCAAGCGTGTCCCCCTTTTGCTGCACTGTAGAAAATCTGGATTTTTAACTTAAAAAAGTTAGTGCCCGGACTGCCTTAAAAAGTTTGAGTTATTTGAACTTCAAATAATAAGTAGATGGGGCATAAAAACACAGATTCCTATTTTGGTAACTTTTCAAAATTCAGTTGACTCAAAATTTTAAGGCATCTGAACACTAACTTTTTACTAAACGTTTACGCTAAAATTATTTTTACAGCGTGCAGTAACAGCCTCTACTCTTCTGGGAAAGCTTTACACTAGATGTTTGCTGTGACTAGATTCCTGTGAGAATATGATTTCAATGAGCATAAAGAGCATTAGTGAGGTCAAGTACTGATGATGGATGATCAGTTCTGGATATCAAACTCCACTCCAACTCATCTGGCCAACACTTTACGTTGATCATACTGAGCATGTGGCTACTCCAGTGTCTCCTATTCTACTGGTCAATGCTTTTCTATGAAGATTGTTCAAGTGGGTTTGAGCTTCAGAACGGGATAAACGCTAAACTGTGCAATGCTATAAACCAGGTCTGAAGTCCGAAAACCCTGCTAAAGCATATGGTACAAGTCAAAACTTTGTTTTTAACAAAAATAATCATGCTTTCTTTTACAGTTTACAATAACTTAAATATTACTTAACACAGCGCTGCCCAAGATTTGGCCAACGAAGGCATTTGATTTTGCCCACTAGAAAGTTACTTGAACCTCACTCCCTCACCTAATCAAAGAATTAACATAATTTTATACTTTATATAATTTATTAAAACTATATTTTCCTTTTAAATGGTGTCTTTTCTGTATTTCATTAATAAAATATTGCGGAATGTTATATATTTTCAAAAACTAGATTGAGGCCTACCTATTTTTTTTTTATGTGTGTGTATTGTTTTCTTTTTGAGCGCCCCTGATTTAACTTATTTAACATATATTTGTGTCAATGTCAGCTCTCGTCAGCACTCAAGTCATTTAGCTGGGCCTAAAAGTGAATCTTTGGGCTAAAAGTGTTTCAATAGGTATTTTTAACAATAGAGTGGAAAAGAAAATTGTCAAATCATTATTTAGGCAAAATTAATCAGGGAAGACACTTTGATGAACATGAAGCTGAGTGTTGAAGCTAAATATGCCAAAGGTTGCTGTGTTTTCTTGTCAAAATCTGTACAGGTGGTTTTTCTTACTTAGATGAAAAACAACAGTGAGATTATTTACATTTCAAAAGATGCCAAGGTGTTCTGAAACCTTTGACTGGCACTGTATGTCATCTGTCATTATGTTAGTATGCATTGCCGTTGTCAGACGGAGCAGACTATCTTGTTGCATCTTGAGTTTTATTCTCCACTTGCTGGCCCCGTCAGAGGTCATGAAGTTTGAAGTTGCGTTTAATAAAATGGGTGGGAGTTTGTAGTTTAACAAGTTGCTTAAATCTTTGCTTATTCATCTTCACACCAAGTCCCGGCGGTTCATGCAAATGGGCCTTAATCTGCTTCTGCACTTAAATCCTCCTGATTTAATTCCATTCTAGCAGCTCTCCCGTGGCCACGGAGCAATGGGGTGAACCACACACATACACTCTCTCGCTCACACTCTCACACACGCTCTGATGGTTTTAGCTGACTCTGGAGCACTGCTTTGCGTTAAAACTGCTGGGTGTAATGATAGCGGACAGGCTGAGGCTAATTGTTTATAGTCAAATAACACCAAAGTGTGTTGTAATGAAAAAGGACATCAAACTGCTGTGTATAAATATGTATGTGTTTGTGTTTTTTGTATTTATGAGCCTGGATGCATGCGCAGCGTGTCATAACTGATCAATGTGGATGTGTAAACATGTCTTTAAGTCTATCAGACTGACTGCCTTGCTAATTTGACCAACTTCCAAGCTCAACTTCTGAGCATCGGCTTTCTTCAAAGGACTGATGTACCACATAACCTGTTTGACTGAATTTATTTGATGATTAATAAATGTTTATATATTGTAATGAAGTTTTGCAGTTAAAAAATAAATACAACAAGACTGATATTGGTCCGTACCACCATGACCAACTGGGGGACCATGGTCCTGTTATCCGGTCTATGTCAGGCCACAACATAAAAAAAGTGGCATCTGTGCTCTCCCAGTTCCCCAACTACACAATTTGAACAAACATATTGGGACACAGCTGTTAATGTTTGAATTCAGGTGTTTCATTCAGTCTCATTGCCACAGGTTTATGAAATCCAGCACAGAGCCCTGACCTCCACCCCAGCAAACACCTTTAAGATGAACTAGAACAGATATTTGAGCCAGGCCCTCTCGTCCAACATCAATGTCTGACCTCACAAATGCTTTTCTGGATTAATGGGCATAAATTCCCACAGGCACACTTCAAAATCTTGTTGAAAGCTTTGCAGAAGAGTGGAAGCTGTTATAGCTGCAAAGGGGGACCAACTCCATATTATGCCATACATCTATCATATATGCCAATGGATTTAGAATGGGATGTCATATAAGCCCCTGTAGGTGCAATGTGTAGGTGTCCCGATACTTTTGTCCATATAGCATATATGTACCCACCAGTGTTATGATAATAACAGATTTGTTTTATTTTCTTCAAGTATTCTCAAGCAGAGCAAAGTCATTAGGAGGGAAAATAAATGGAACAGTAGAGGAGAAAATGGGAAAATAACAAACAAAACAAAACTAAACTTAGATTAGGGGAAACTAACTTACATAACCAAACAAAAGAAAAGCAAAGACAAATACAGCCTAATTTAGTAAATTTGTCTAATTTGACTAAAGCAAGCCAGGAAAAAACAAATGGTAACAAAAGTAACTCTCTCTTCCTTATAAGAGACCCTATATGTAAGAGGTATGTAACTAAGCAGCCACATTGACTCAGTATTTACCGTTTGCTTTAAATGCTTTATCAACACACTGTAAACTATCTTTATGAAAATCTCAACAAACAGGCAACAAAGCAACAGTAAGTTGTACACTCTCTGACTGAAATTTTCCAAAAATTGGTTGGGGAAATGGGAATGCAACGGAACGCAACCACATCAGAAGCAAAGCACTGCCGCTTCCTCCTGAAAACATCCTTTTTAAAGATGGCTCCCCCTGATAAAGATCAGCCCTGTGCATTTCCGTTCTCCTTGCATCATTGAAGAAGACAGACACACACTACATAGAAAAAGTACAAATTAGGACCCTTGGCGTCATAACAGGCCACAGGTTGAAAAACTCTGGGCTACACAGTTGAGAGTTTATTAATATATTAGTATATCATGTTGTGGTGTAAAGTGGTGTTGAAGTTGCTGATGAACTTTTATCCCCTATTCTAGAATCTAGGCGTGTTTATTGAGGTTATTACAAATATGAATGCTTGTAGTGTTTCCTTGTAGAGTTCCACAAGGTTCTATTTTAGGGCCACTGCTTTTCCCATTCTACATCCTGCCTCTAAAAATGTGATCAAGAAACATGAGATACATTTCCACAGATATGCTGGAGATACACAATTATACATTTGCATTCCCTCTAAAGTAAAGACTCTGCCGACATGCTGAGAAATGATCAGTTGTCATTTCTCAGTGGATGTGACAAAATTATGTGCAGCTTATTCAGGGCAAGCTAGAAACTGATATAAGAGAAATACATTTCTGTTGTTATGCTTCTAAACTGTAGAGTTTGTGACCTTATTATTGTTTCCTTTTGTAGTATATAAAAGTGTTTATTCTGCTTGTTTATGGACAAATATCTCTTATTCGAGTGTATGTTTATTGAGTGCTGTCTCTTTAGCTGAGGTTGTGCTGAATCTGTAGATCAAGTTATAAAATTTGATGTTACTATAATATAATATAAAACCATAAAATATGCAAAAATAGAAAAACCTGAATGTAGGTGTGAAAAGGTTAAAATTTGTAACATGATTTGTTTTATGTTTCTTGCAGCCCAGCACTCTGTGGATGACCTGGGTGGGCTGTCCTGGCCGGGAGAGCTGGACGTTCCTCTGTCTTACAGTATGTAACTCTCTATTCTCAAAGCAGGTCCTACCAATTCCTCACCAAAACCATAGCTCTAAACACTTTCCTGGTGACTAACCAACACTGCATTTTAAGGTTTGATCTGTAGATGTTGTAGAGCTCTGTAAAAAGAAAAAAAGCTGCAATGGGTTTGTTTTTGAAGGTTTAAGTTGTACACTAATTAGGGCAGTTTCCAACTTCACTAAGCACTGGAACCTTTAGCATGAGAAATTTGGAATTGTGTGTTTTTCATCGACCATCGGTCCAGTACCAAAGGTTCTTGTCTTATGGTTTTTGGTACCTGCTTAGATTGGTATCAAGACATAATGGTACTTGTCTGTCTGGTAACACTTGCAGCCAAAACCAGCAACAAGATAACACATTGTTTACTTTATATATATCCAGGTGAGGATAAAGTCTGTTACACTAGTACATCACCGATAACCAGACCATAAACTAGGATGCTATGCTGATGGGACATTACTTTTAGAATTACAACTTTGTAAAGATAACGGGACACAAGAAGGGTAGGAAGCTAATACTATTAGCATTTATGCTAACCTCTGCAGGACAAGACTTGCTGAGAAAATATAAGCTTTGCTTGATTCTACAGATGATTCTATGTAATTGTTGACAAGTGTGTATGGACAACAGTGCATTATATTGTTTCATATCAGCCAGTAAGTCAAGCTGCCTAACAAGCAATGTAGCTAATTAGCCAAATTGGATGCTTTAAAGTGGCATAACATGACAAAAAAAATGAATATATTGCTAATCCCAGATATTATGACGGCTGCAGCTGTCTGAAACAATTGAAATGAACCAGAACTAGAACTGTTGCATTGTTTCTCATTTGGGTTATGCACTGTGTATTGTTTGTTAATCATTATCATGATGTCAAGCTTTTAAATATTGATAACTCTGAAGACAAACACATGCAAATTAGCCCTCTAATTAATCTAATCAGTTTTTACTGTACTGTGACCATCTTGACCAGTCAGTTTCTGTTTCTGTGGGAAGTTATTCATGTTATCCCCTAAGATTAATTCAAATTCTTTAAGATCTTCAACCATGTGCAGTGATTACGTATATATATATATATATATATTGTGCGCAGTGATTACGTATATATATATATATATATATATATAATGTGTGTGTGTTCACTTTGAGCTATAATGCTGACGCTTACAGTTGCTGTTCCTCAATTTCATTAAGTCCGCTTGTAGGCGTTTGTCTAAAGCCGTTTTTTTGCCCTAATTGCCTCCCACTTTCTCAGTGCAGCTTCAGTAACTCCCCTGTTGGGCCTCCAGAAACACCAGAGATTAAGTTCATTAGTGTTGCTCAAGGAGTTTTAGGCACTACAGCATCACAGAGCATCTTAATCACAGTTGTTAAGTGAGGAATATCCACATTCTACACCAATTTCTTTTGGGAAGGAGATTAGGCTGAATGAATGGGTCTGTTTGTGTCCCCCTGCTGCAGTATATAACGCCTTAACAACTTGACTCAACTCATCTTGGAATTAAATGGTGGTTTTAACAAACAACTCGCAGTTGTTGGGTGCTGAGTGTGCCTTTGGGTACAAAATACTTGAATTATGAATATTAAATTATATTAAGTTAAATTTTGTCCCACGTGGTTAATCTTCAAAGACATAAAAAAATACTGAATTACAAAATCACACCTTTCTAACAGATACTGCATTATATAAACCTTAAATTTCAAGCCAAACAAAGCCACTTTCAATGAAAACACAGGAAAGCTAATGAGGCACATAGACAAAAGTGTGGGAAACCTAATCTAAAGAATCAAAGTAAATATTAATTTTTCATTTTCAGTATTTTCTGCATGTCTGTTCCGTACAGCTTATAACTATTATATTTTAAATTAGATTTATTAACACAACTTTATATTCAAATATAAATTCAGATATAAAAGAGGTCATAAGCTAATTTAACAAGCCATCAGTCTTGGAAAGACTAATTCAATTAAAATGCATGTATATATATATATATATATATATATATATATATATATATGTTTATGTGGCTCATTTCTGTCTTACTATTATGTTAAATAGACTTCAATACTTTAAATGAATTTTCTAAACATTTGGACAGCCTATAATCTACAGTGTTTCCATAATTACTGAATCATGGAAGGAGCCTTGTTAACTTGGTTACTGTTGTATACTGTAGTCTACTTCACTGCGAGAACCGGTGATGTTATATTTTAATGGCAGTTATTATCTGCTTTCACTACAAGCCTGTATCAGCACCGCAGACTACCTCAGCCATGTTTAACATGATCAAAGCCAAATGCCTTGTCATAGTACAGCCGCTGTCTCTCTTGTTTCACAAGACACAGCACCTGAGAGAGTGACTGACTGGCTGTATGCGTGTGTGTGTGTCCTCACACAGCCTCCTGTCTGAGTGATTTACATCTCTGGGATCAATCATCCGCTCTAGTCGTTAGTAATTAGCACTTCTTTCGTTTTAAGCAGAGCTCCAAGAGGGTCATGGTCTGGCGAGGCTTAATCTTTTCCCTGCTCTTATCTTCATTCTTAAAAATGAAAGTTTCAAAATGGTTCTTGGCTTGGATTCTAGGAAGAACACTTTAATTGGTAAAGAATCTTTACATGTATGTGGAGGTTCTTTTTTCCTATTAAACTGAGCATCTTGCTGGTTGTCAATTCAGAAGCGAAGGTACCTGAAATTATTTTCGGCATGGACATGTTCTTCCTTGCCACAGTGAAACATATTGACGTGTTGAATCAGAGTTTTCTATGTGTTAGTGTGTTCTATCACTATATAAGAGATGCCTGAGCCTTAATTTAATGTTGATCCACTGTGATTTTTTTTAAGTGAGTATGTGAGATCGTTCAGAGCGCAATAGGCTTCTGTATTAAAATAATTAATGCACTTATTCTAAGTGCTTTGTTTATTCAGAGTAACAATAAAACACTACTGATGTCATTTATATTCATATTCATGTGTTTTGTTTTGTTCTAATGTGTAGCTAGTGAGGTCTGTTTTCATCTTTGTTAGATCACATTCTTTACGTATGAAATGCATCACTTCCACAAAGATTCTTTAAAGAACCATCTATTGAAAGGTTCTTTAGAGAATCAAAAGTGGTTCTTCTATGGCGTCGATCCAAACAAAGCTTTTTGAGACCTTTATTTTTAGGAGTATATGCTGGTGATGTTGTGGGTTTGAACTATTCCTTCAACATAAGTTTGTAGTATAAGAACAGACTCTAGGACTGTAGGAAGGGAAATTTGGGCTGGAGTTAAACCAGAAAGCAAAGGGCATAAACTGATATAACAATACAAACATTACATCATCTGTCATGACAATTACTGGTAATGTTAATACAACACTGTTATATTACTGAACAAAACCTGTCAAGACTCACATGACAGCTAATGCCATGACATGTTTATGGCATGCTTATATCAGTGTTATGTAGCATAACATAATATATCAAGTAGTGTTACCGAATTAGTATTAAACGTTAAAATAATTCACCAAGTTGTCAATCCCGACTGAGATTTATGTTTCATCCACAATGGAACTTGAACTTGGACCACTGAGTTGGCAAAGGCATATGAATTTGGCTGTAAGAAACAAAGTATCTGACATATCTAACAAATACAGTTCATGCTGAAAGTCTGTTGGAAATCACCTCAGTAAATTCTGACCATGTTGTGAAATCCAGAGTGGCCGGCAGCCTCTGCTGTGGAGTTTAGAGGGTTCCAGGATTTTTTTTCTGCCAAGAACACTTAAAGTAAGGCTGTCTTTTCTTAATTCGACTGATTTTTCCTAACTCAACTGAATGGATGAATTCCTGCAGTTAGAATGAAATTTGTCAGCCTTTGCTTTGCTAATATCATCAAAGTTCATTTTTTATGACTTTTGCTAAAGTTGGCACTGGATAGAAGGTTCATAAATCATTGCTGTAAGACTTTTCACCTCGAATTGTACAAAATTGCTTCCATAACATATATCACAGTGTCAAGAAGATGACACTTGTAGCTGTAATATGGCTGAAGATATGCATAAGAATCATATTGGCAGTGGATAATTATCACCTAGATGGTGCCAGAGACAGCAAACAAATGGGATCTCTCTGGAATTCAACATATGCCTCAGTGATAATGGTGTAACCGAGGCCACAGGCAATCCACTTATTGATTTTGACACTTCAGTGATAAGGTGGTTTGCAGTACGAACGTGCTTCACTCAGTCACAGAGTAAACGTGTTTGGAACAGTGCACAGATTCTGTGCTGAAAGTGCAGGTACAGGGAATAGTTCAGACATGAATATCACTTAGCTTGCAGTAGAAAACACGACCAAACAGTTTTGGCAAAAGTAGATCTCTCTGTATGCTTGTATTAAGAATCACATTTTTTACCAAGTCTAATTTTATGCATGACACTATTTGTTGCTGTGCTGTGAATAAAGGGGGTTGTGCATTGCGTTAGACATTGCCAACTCTCGCTAGTCTAACCACCTGTGTATGCAAATTGCTTTGCTAAGCATCTGTGAGATGCTTCATTTTAACCTCAAACTGTTAGATGCTTCAGGTAGAGCAATATGTTTAGGGCACTAAGCGTAAAGAGTTGCATTACAGGCCAAAAGTTTGTAAAGAAGACTAGTTTTGCTGGACTATATATATATATATATATATATATATATATATATATATATATATATATAGTGTCATTTAGATGGATGCTCAAATTTAAACACTGTAAAAAACATTTTGGGGTATTAACTTGCAAAAGTTCGTATCCAGGCTGCCTTAAAATTTTGAGTTATTTGAATTTCCCAAAATCATTTGATAGGGTGTAAAACACAGATCCTTGTTTCATTAACTTGCTGTTCTAAATTCAGTTAACTCATAATGTAAAGGCTTTTTTTAAGGGTTCTTTAGTTAAGGAAATGGTTCTACGTAGATCCATGATTTCTAGAACTGTTGCATCCTTAAA